ACCTAAAACAATATTTGGTATACAACCATAAGCATAAACACTCAGTGGAGTGGATGGGATGGGTCGTTCATATAGTCAAAATCTGAGCATACTGCTGAAACACTCACTGGAGACATCAGCTCTGCAGTATCTGTGTTGTTCCAGGGTGTAGCCCTCTCGACAGCTGCAGTGATGGGAGCCTATACGGTCCTCACACAGCTGGTCACATGCCCCCCACATTGAACAGTCATCAAAGTCTTCAGCATGAAATCAAGATCAGAGCAAATGAGCATTAAACACTGTCTGGAGGATGAAACTTCAGCTTGAGTCACATTACATTTTCAACAGGTTTTTAAAAAAAAATGGTGTAAAAGTGTACAGAGGTGTGAATGGACAACACTTCCCTTCAGTCCAATGTACCTTTTCAGTCCAAACATATAGCACCTCTCACTCTCTGGGTATACATAAACGGCAGATTTTTAATGCACTGTTATAAACCTGATTTGATGCATTGCAGCAAATATAAATGGTTCAGTGCACAAAGTTAAGGTGTTATTTGGGTGAATAAGACCTACTTCTGGTATCCTGTGATTGAGTATCTCTGTTGTCTATTGTTCTGCTCTTAGGTAGAAAACCCCAAATATGAAAATAATGACCTTCTCCTGCAGATACTGACTTTACAAAAATATAGACATCCCAACCTATTCTTGCCATGTGAAGGAAAAACCTCAATCATTGGACTAGGGAGCAGTGAAGCTTATGCAGGATATATACCTATACATGAGCGGCTATTGTTGCTGCTGACTATATATCCAGAAGGACAAAAACAGGTTCCTCCTTCAGGAGAAGCATGACAATGATGCTCACAGCTCAGCTCAGCACATCTCCAAATACCTGAGCAACACAGAAACCAGGATAGTGATGAATATACTTGGCACAGTTTCAGTGACAGCAAATGTGCTAACACGAATATGACACCAGATGTGTTGTTACTAACTGCAGTTGTGGCCAGCAGTGGTATTAGTTTCATCCTCTCCCTCAGGACAGTGAGCCGTGCCATCACACAGCTGATTTATGGGGATACACAGGCCAGAGGATGGACAGGGCCATTCTCCAGGGTAACACTCCCGCTGCACATTATCTGCAAACAAAAACAATTTACAGCTTCCTCCCACAGTCCAAAGACATGCTGCTCAGGTTGATTGGTGTCTCTAAATTGCCCATAGGAGTGTGTGTGAGTGTGTGTGTGTGTGTGTGTGTGTGTGTGTGTGTGCACAAATGTCTCTAAGTGTGGGCCCTATGATACACTGGCATCCTGTCCAGGGAGTACCCCACCTCTCGCCCGATGTTGGCTGGGATTGGCTTCAGCCCCCCCGCCCCGTGACCCCATTTGGGACTAAGCTGTATAAGGATGGATGTGTGAAGTGAACAGAAAACGAAATCAAAACTGACTGCCACTTGCAAACAATGCAGTGGAGTGGAGCTTTGAGGGGGTCACACTGGAGCTCAGAGGGCTTCTGCAGCCCATCCTCTAAAAACACACACTCTTCACAGCCATAAGGAGGAATTCTAAAGCCGGGGGCGGGGAGTGCACAATCTTGTGCCACAAAGAGGCATTTCAATAACACACTTAAAGGAGCGGAGGCATAGCATCATAGTAGACCAAACCAACCATGGAGACTGAAAATGAGTCAGGTTCACACAGAGAGCTCCAGTCGTATCCCATTCTAGTGTTCCTTAACCAGACAAATGTCTAACAGTGAAAATTAACTGGATTTATGATAACTGCCTTTCAACTACTGTATCCATACCACAGCCTTTTTCATCAGCGTTGTCCTCACAATCATCCTCTCCATCACAAACCCAGACCTGGTGGATACAGCGGCCACTGGGACAGGTAAAGTAGTTCCCTCTGCATGTAGGATATGCTGTAGGTGAAATAGAGAGTTTTAAAATGAATAAGAGAACAGAGTTATTTGTTTACCTAACTGGGAAAAAGATAAGGTAAAAGTCATCAGACTGACAACAAAGTTAGATTAAAGGAAAAGAGAGGGCAGAGAGACGCAAGCTACATACTGCAGTTTAGCTCATCACTTCGATCTCCACAGTCATCGTCATGGTCACAGACATAGCGTTGAGGAACACATGCTCCGTTATGACACGAAAACAGGCCTGTGTTGCAGTGCTGTGCTAAAGAACACAAAAAATAAAGTCAAAAACAACCATTTGGTGATGATTTGTTAACTATTGCTACACAGCCCAAGTGAAGGTTGTTTGGAAATGCTGTTTCTAAAATTGACAGGCTTCTTACTGCAATTTGCCTCATCAGAGCCATCACGGCAGTCAAGTATCTGGTCACATCGCTGAGTCCGGTTGTAGCAGGCCCCATTAGCACACCTCAGCTGTGTACACTCCAGGTAATCTGAAAGGTTGAATGATCATCAGGGCAGCGCTAAGCATTCAAATCAGCCTGACAGCTTTCTTTTCATGTCTTTTAAAAAGTGAACAGCTCAGGAAATGGGAAGGACAAGAGATTCAAATTTAACGCCACCACCTTAACAACAGCAGTCGCCACAGCATTCTTTATGCAGTTGTGAGATTACCACAGTGTGCAGTGTAGTAAGTCTACCATGTCAGCACAATAATGCCATAGTAGCCTAACTCCAGCTTGACTAATCCACCAAGGAATCTGCAATCAACCTCTGACAACAAGAAGCATATTGTGGCCCATTCTGTCAGTCAGCGAGCCTCTTAATCTTAACAAATTGATTAAAATGCCACAGGAACCTGAGATTAAAAAAAAAGGGAAACCATCCTGGAGAAGACTTACGGCAGTTTCTCTCATCAGAGCCATCTGAGCAGTCCGCCAGATGGTCACATCGGTATTCTCCTGGGATGCACACCCCATTACTGCAGGTGAACTGGCCGCTGGTGCATGTTCTTCCAGCTGGGGACAGATGGGAGGGTGAATCAGCAACACATACAAAAGTCTGAGCCAGCTATTTCTTACATGTAGCGAAAACATGATCTAGTTGTACATACAGTATAAAGTAAATACACCACGGTAATATCCTATGCCTCACAAACCCTTTGACAGGCACAGTTTTGGAATATATTTGTCAAAAACACAGTCCTTCATTAAAGATTATAATCATAATACCAAGGTTTCATTTAATGCCAAATATGTTGTGCTATGTTCTATGTAAGCTACATGGAAGTGTGCAAAAATGATTTTAAAAGTAAAAAAAAAAAAGTAATAATAACTAAAATGATCAAATAATAAAAATAATTTAACTTAATAAAATTACAAAAGTTATAATAAAAATTTTAAATATACAATACTGTTGTAATGGAATGCTGCAGCCATAAAAAAATGCATTAAAATTTTTCATTTGAAACAAGTGTGGTATGGTTCCAGTGAAGCACTGGATAGTGAGGAGAGCCTAACCTTGGAGCTTCTCAAGGGGACATTAAAGAGATAACTTAGGAATATAAAAGTTCTGGTGGTTAATTCTCAATGCATGTGACGGACAGTTAGAAAAATTAATTTGGTATATTTCCCCCGAGGATTTGCTGATTTGTAAAATGTACTTACGGCAGTGTTGCCTTTCATCTGAGCCATCCTCACAGTCTTCCTCATCATCACACACCCATACATCTGGGATACACTCGCCATCACTCAGGCACTGGAAATGGCTGCCATCACATGTTACAGGAGCTGTGGAAATACACACATTATCTACAACAGCTGACTGAAATACACTTGTGGAAAGTTACTAACTACATTTTAGTGACAAATTACAACCAACATAAAGTGTGTCAATAAGGTGTTGGGCCACAACATGTGTGCCTTGGCACTGATTTTACAAATTTGAACTCTACTGGAGGTTATGTTTTTGGTTGTTAGCAGGATTACAAACATGGATGGATCATCAGCATAGTTGGTAGAGACATTGGTGAGGACAAACCTAGAAGTGCTAGAAGGTCAAGGTCACAAAAAAATAACAAAAAATGCACCAAAAAATTACTATCTTGAAAATAGGGCAAAATTTTTTAAAAATTCATATCTCCAGCAAAACTTATCGCAGTCGTTTTTATTTGAAATTTGACACACGTATGTGGCGGTGTCTGTCACCAGCCCAAATTTCTTTCAGATCGAATCTGGATTCTGGATCTGATGGCCATTTAAAATTAAAATTGAAAACCCCATTTAACACACATTTTCTACCAAAACTTGGCCTGTAATGAAGATAGAAGTCTGAAATGTTCAGGTAAGATGCACAGTATCATACATTAAAAAATGATCTGGATCCAATCTGGATCAAGGATTTTAGGGCACATTTTGTTGCTCTGGATCTCTTGTTTCTTCCCATTTGCGTGGATGAATGTTGTGCCTTGGCGCTGGTACATGCGCTCTCTAGGTGCGCTTGTTTGGTGTTTCAATGATAGTGACGGAGACACTGTCTAATACATCGGTCCAAAATCTCCCATAGGTGTTCAACTGGGTTGAGATCTGGTGACTGTGAATGCCACAGCATATGACACATCGTTTTCATGCTCCTCAAATCATTCAGTGACCCCCCAGTTCTCTATGGATTGGGACACTGTCATCCTGGATGATGACAAAGATGATGACTCATTTATTCAAGTTTTTCCTTGACTTGTCACCACACCTAAAGAGGAATACTTTTACTTTTGATAATATAGGTATGTTTTACTAATAATACGTCTGTATTTTGGTTTCACAAGTTAAAATCTGAAAGAAGCTAATTAACTAAAGGATCTGAATAAGCCTTCAACCACTGCTGAATTTCAGATTGGACTGACACCCATATCCAACAAGCATAGTAAATACCCCACCTCTGTCAGGAATAACATATTGGCATACAGTGTGATATAACGAGTAACTCACGGCAGTCGTGTTCATCAGAGTCATCCACACAGTCTGATGTCCCGTCGCAGTGCCAATCACCAGGTATACATCGGCCTGTCCCACAGCGGAACTGCCCCAATTCACATCCTATGTACAATTACATTTAGGCATAATTCAGTACTTTTTCAATTCACTTTTAACACTGAAGACATTACTGTTAATATCATTATTAATTGTGCCCAAAACTTGTGATCCTGTCCATCCTAATTCCCTGAAGACTGGGGGCAAAACCTATAAAAACATAAGTTCTCAAAAATGAGAACTGATCAATTTGACTGAATAAATGAATATACTGAAAAACGCTGTTTAATAGAAACATGGCAGTGGATGCCTTCCACTGATGAAGCATGTTGTTAATAGCACTGACAATCCTTGGAGAGAAGCATGCCAGCCATCTTGCCAAACAGTTGGACAATCTTCACACTCATCCTGAGCCTCCTTTTGATGTTCTCACTGGGTGACATCTGTAGAGATAAGGCACCACCACTCCACCTTCCCTGACATTTTCCAGAAGAGATTGATTCAGGCAGCATACTTCAGTGGCAGAGCACTCCATCAGAACCCTCCAACTAGGAATGTGCAATTCTGATTGTCTTTCTGACAGCCTGATCTATGGTGCATGCTGATCCTGTCTGGTCTGAAATGTAATCGGAATAAATAGTGGTACTGGGTGGTACCACAACCATTTCTTGCCAAATTCTTCATGAGAAGAGCTGTGAGGTGGTGATTAGCGGTGCATATATGGGGGTGCTGGTCTATCTCTGTCCTGTCTTATCAACCATTTTTAAACATTCTTCCTTCTTGATCAACAGCCGAAACGAATAGTGGCATAATCTATCTAAAATCATATGTTGCTATAGATAAACAGTTCCTCCATAGTGCCATAAATTTACTAGGAATTATATGAAATGTTGTGCCAAAGTGTAATTCTACATGTGAGTTGAGCAGCTCAGCAACTGTCAATAAAAAAAATTGCATCTTTAATGTATATGACTAAAAACATATTGTCTATTAACAAACAGTGTTTTTGCTTGATAAATACTGTGACTGGACGTAGAGTTGGGGGTTATCATCCCTTTTACGTATTCTTTTAAAGAAGGATCACTTTCTCAACAGTCGTGGGGTCGCTGCCTGTGCTACTGCACTAAAAGCCTCGCATAAGCTCTGATCAAGAATTCTTAATTAGGCAGTAAACCACCAAACCTCTTTATGACCAATCCAGCAAAACAGGCTGTATCTTTCACTCCCTGAGCAACTAACCAAGAAAAAACCTTTTTCTCCTGCTCAGTTTACTGATGATAAAATTGCTCACAATTTGCTCAAAGGGAGCCTTTGTTGCAAGACGATCCAAGTGGTTTCAGCATCTATTGCATCCACTGCATATCAGTAAGGAGAAGTGGTGCACACACTATAAAGTGGCTAAGAGATGCACCGTTTTAAACAAATACGGTATTTCCCCTGAAAATAAAGGGCACATTCAATACATTTACATATTAAATGCCTGGAGAACACTATAACAGAAAAAACTGTTATATTAAAACTGAACAATGTAACAATAAGATTTTAAAAACATGATTTAAACAAACTGTTAAAATGGATTTGAAAAATAAAATAAAATACCACAGTGAAAATCTGTATATAGATCAAGGTATATTTTGCGCTCCCATACATTCAGCCCATGACAACTTAAAACCACATATGCCAAGGAGAAACCAATCTGCTGGAGGCTTTCAAATGCAGCCAGTGTTTTCCTGACAGTATCACTTCTGGGAAAGGTGACAGATACACTGTAGCTGAACCTTTCCACAGCACAAGCCTGTGTGAGAGTTCATCTTACATTCCTCAAAAGAATGTTTTCTGTGTAACTTTTCCTTAAACTTCAACTGCAACGTCTTCATCGTGACAAAGTCCCAACTTGACCGTGTCAGTAAATATGATGTGAATGGCAGGGTGACTGGTGCTAATAAGTATGTTTATGCTGAGTCTTGATGATGAGTGCCTCTTTATTAATGTTTTAGTTGGGTGTTTTTTGTCTAATTTGATGTTTTCCTTTCCCTTCTTTTTAGCCTTGTCTATTCTAATTAGCAACTTAATCCCACAGCGGGAGAGAGCACCACACTATCCAAGCAGGAAGATAAGGGCGCCCTACTATTGCCCAACAAAGAAGAGCAGTAGAGGAATTTTCATGAGAATGAAACCCGCCAAATGCTTTAAACCCCACTGTGAAATTACAATGGCACAAAAGAGGTGCCAGCAGGGATGCAAACTCATAACTGGAAGTGTCACCCTAAAAAAAAAGAGATGGACAGTACAAATAAAGTACAACAAATAAGGTGATATGGTAAAACAAAAGGCTCCCGTCTCATGGCCACCCATGAAGAAGGCACCTGTCCACTACCAATAAAACATCTCTTTCTTGTCACGTGGAGCGCCTGAGAGATGCCTTCAAACTTTCATCAATGCCATCTTGTTTTGGTGCAGCCCTCTGCACTAACTGAATACATGTAGAGAAAACGGCCGCTGGCAGCATGAAACGCTGGACCCATCCATGCTGTCAGAGCGAAGTGCTGCTGCCTATTTCATATGGAAATCAATGCTGCAGAATGCAGTCAATTGCCAAACAAGTGACTTTGGCTCTAACTACTACACACTAAACAGTGAAAAACTGAGGGGCTTTGACGCTGTCATGGGAATAAACAGAGTGAGAAATAAAGCCTTGGTCAGCTAAGAACTGAGGAATACTTGACATGATTTTTGGTACGCGCCTAAACAAAAACATGACTGAAAAGAATTATAAATTATGTCGTCACTCTGCAATAATACAGCCGCTGAACAACTTATTCTTCCTCTGTAAAGTGAGTGACAGCTAACCAATTGTTGGTTGAAGGCTAAACTCCAACTGCAGTGTCTGTAACCTAGACTGAGGGAGCTACAGGAAAAGAAAGGATTTGCTCACTATTTGTGCCAACTGCATTCCTGTTTCTAACGTAGTGTTACTGTTGCACAAGGATTTAGGCTCCTACACCGGAAAGAGGCCGGCATGCGTGCGGTTTAACATGCACGTGCTGGCCAATTCTGTGCGTCTTGAAAAGTCTGAACACAACATTTTCTAACAATCTCATTACACATTTTCACTAAAAATAAGTCTGATCAAATCTCGAATCCCGCACATGTCCAAAATACTAACAAACACATGGTAATCAAGCATGTCTGTTTCCAATAATCAGATTGATATTCCTCTTATAATATAAAAATGTACTTTGTAACACCATTAAAGTTCTTACTGTGCACTTAATAGGTTATTAGGAGTTCTCTGGCCAATGATTAGAAGAGAAAACTGAATTTTCTGACAAAACATGTCTGGACTGGAACAGCAAAAATTGCAGAAGGTAGTTAACAGACCATCACATGAGCAGTGTCAGCATTCTGTAGCAACACCAAGGCTGATCCCTGGATAATGTGTTACAGAAGGTCCTGGAAACAAGTTATTTTTGTGGAGGACCACATAGAGATTAGAGAAAACTCCTAGTTAAAGGACACAAATGAACCTTTACTAATCGTTTGAATACATTATTAAGTGTTACATTGTCCAATCCGGTTCAGACATCACTGCACCCTTGTAACATGGCATTGCTATTAAAACTTCAAGTTAAAGATAAATAGTGGAACATCAGCACAGCCTACGAGTCTCTGTGCGGTTTTGTTTAACCGGACGTTGACGCTGCTCTGTTAATCACAACAAAATCTGTGCTAATAATCAACGTGAACATGCTGACACGGTGTACGGAGTTACTGTGGTTTTAGTTAAGTCATCATTTTGTACATTTGAGTTGACCCTCAGCAAATTTCAGCTGCAAGTACGCAATGCTGTGATTTAAAGGTAATGCCAGATGTTTGTTTGTTTTTAAATAAATGCCACGGTCTCACTGTCAACATGGTTGCACTGTCTCTTTGGTATGTAGCTTTCACCTTTTCTGCTTTTGTGTGCCTGTTAGCCACTAATGAAATAGGTCCAGGATGTATAATAATAAATAAACACGAAGGTGGTAGCTGCAGTGTAACTCTCAGTACAGTTTTTTCTTAACTCCACACTGCTCCTTAGGTAGAAATGATTCCATTCTACAGCAGCTGCTGTGTAATTAGTTGCTTGATTCACACTAAGGAGCTTACATACTAAGGGTTGAGCAAAAAGAAAGCAGATTACAATTTGAGAAGAAGGATCTAGCTGAGACACAAACACAAGACACAAACACAGGACTTCATAAAGAGCAGTGTCTAAGCGTTTCGTTTTATGTTAGAAAGTTCTTCCTTGAGTTGGAATTAAGTTTGAATCAGTGGTTTGCAGCGTAAAATCTGCTCCACTCAATGAGATGTGTACTAGTAGCTCTCAGTCCTGCAGACTATCTGTAAGTCACATGCTCTTTTCTGTTACCTAGCAACAGTAAAGCTCAGGCAAAAGTTCCTCAGCAGAACTTGTGTCTGTCTGAGGAGGGCATTGTGCTCAACCTTTAAAGTAATACTATGTGTAAAACATTGAGCTCCAGAGCCAGAACTGCGTTACCTAGTATCCACATTAAAATTACTCAAGGTTATTGGGCAGCTCCATTGGAAAAGTAGCCCTTTGAATCCACACAAGGTTATTTCCATTTCAGCTGATTCCCATAAAACTTGAATTCAAATCATTAGATGGACACTTTGTTTATACTTTAAATAAACACAAAGGCATATTAATTCAGGAACAATAAGTGGTTTGTTTTGACTGAACAAGAAATGCACTGGGTGACTCACTAGTAGCACAACACTGCAGCTTCTTAATGAATCATTCAGCTTGACAGCCTGTAGGGACAGAAAAAAGTAAGAGGGAAAATAAATCACATTACTTACCTTCAGTGTGGCCCCATCTATCACAGCACATGAAGACAAAAAGCAGTTTAAGTAGCAGTGCTCTCCACATTCTGGCTGGTACGTCCAGCTCTGCTGTGCAGATGGAGGAGCTGCAGGGACTGGGGCTAGGATGCTGGTGCTTTCCTCTGGTCTGTCCTTCTTGGCCCGCTAGTTGATGAAAAGGGGCGTGCACAAAGACCAGGACAGCCGCTCCCCCAACCCAGCCTCGGCCCTCTGGCCTGGAATCTGCATAATGCCACGCAGGTCCGACTGGTCCGGAGTGCTATCAATAGTTTATTTGCTCCACACTTGGGAGTCGGAGGGGGTTACAAGAGGGCTCCTGGGAGAAAAATAAGAACGGGAGTAATAGGGATAACCTGTAAAACCAACGTTACGAACAGTTTTAAATTAGATTGCCCTGAAGGCCTATACTTGTGTCATGTAATCTCAAGGTGTCTGGCTCGAGTTAGACCCAGGCCCTTGGTTGCACGTTTTACACATCCAGTTTGATTTGGGCAATATTTTAATTGGAAGCGTGTTCTACATAATAAACCAATGCAGTAAGAGGCTGAAACGTCATCATATATTCAAAACCGTGTACTTAAACTCCTGAAGGAATACTACAGGTAACTCGCCTAAATAAATCCAACGCAATAGCTAACTAGATCTAAAAATGAAGAGTAACAAAAAAGACAGCTGCTATGTACAATTAAGTAGCCAGAGCTGACTAAAATTTTACCAAACTGAAACATAATTTAAGTAACATAAGAAAACTGCTCCTTCTTGTAAAGACGGACTGTGGTGCTTCGCTGTGCTGTTGACCGGTAAGAAGCCCAACATCGCCATCGTGCGGCCGAGCGGCGTCACCACGTCACCTGCCACTGCTCAAAGATGGTTGCCATTAGCAACCCAGCAACTGAAACTCGGAGATACTTTCTTTTAAAGTTGTACTAACCGAGCATTCAGTGAATAAATAACCGTTTGTCTACGCAAGCTTTACCCTTTAACTGCTTTTGCTCATCATGGCAACTCCACAGAGAAATACAGAAAATTTCAGGAAGGAGGGAAACACGATGGAGGTAAGTTAATATCAGTTTAACGCTAGTTGGGGTCTTTGCAAGTTGGGGGGAGGGGGCATCATCCAAACTAAATTCCAGTCAATAAATCAACAGGGCTGATATTCAGTTAAAACCATTACACATTGCACTTCATCTAGTAGGGAGCACTAACAAGTTTATATTTAGGAGTAAAATGTTCCCCAGGGTTCATATGTTGACCACAGTTCTTTACACCACTATATCATTATCAGATTTTTTTAAAACTCTTTAATATTGATACTTGTGTCAACATCAAAAATTCAGGCTCTAGTCCAGACGTAGTATAACCTTACTAAGAAGCTGCCAGTGCATCAACATGTCTGTCATATTTTAACACAAGGCATTTTCCTTTGTTCTCAGCATATGGACAATATTCAGACGTCACTGGAGAAACTAAGATTTTCTGCAGAGGATATGACAGGGACAGAGATGCTGCGGTCCAGGATAGATGAACAGTCAAATCTGATCTGCATACTGAAAGAGAGAGCAGATGATCAGCTTGTTCGATATCAAGCCCTGCAAAAAATGAATGCGGAGCTGGAGGACAGAGCGACAGAGCACCAGAAAGAACTGGCCGAAGAAAGAATGAAGGCAGAGATATTAGAGAAGAGATTTATGGATTTAGCTGAAAACAATCAAGCAATTATTGCTTTCATGTATGAGTACAAAAATCAAAATGCCCAGTTAAAAATGGAAAACAAACAGCTGCAGGCCAAAAATGACACACTCCTCTCTCAAAAATCACAAGATAGTGACATGATTGTTCAAAAACTGATGCAAGAAATGAAACAACTGACAGAAAAATACACAAATAAAGAAACTGAATATCAGTAAGAAAAGCAACTATGTCAGTTATTAATAGCATAGAAAGATCAATTTATTGTTTAATCTTTTCATCTTATAAACATCATACTTTTGATGCTGCATTTTGCATCTGTTTAAGGGTGACATTAGCTGGATGGCAGTCAAAACTCCTGGAACAAGCAACTCAACATCAAGCCAAGGAGGCATCCGTACTTGAGCAATTGCATGATGCTCAGCAACAGCAAAGAGAGGCTGTGGAGATGTACAGAGGTCAATAGTTAATGCCTGATTATTCTCTCAAATGTTAAAAAAAATTACAAGCTTCTGTAAAACATGGCCATTTTTCTATGATCAGACCAGAAGCTGAAACTCCAACATGCTGAAGAAGAGCATGCACTGAAGGAGCTCAACATGAGAGAAAGGATAACAAGCCTCACCAAAGAGAAGGATAAATTATTATCAGTGTCTTTGGAAAGAGGGAGAGTGATACAGGTAACCGAGTTTGTTCTTCTCGCTGAAGATCAACAGCTCTATGCAGAACTAACCAATCACTTCATGTAATGAAGTGGACATATTAATTGGTCTTAATTGCAGGAAAAACAAGAGGAAATCCAGCAGCTGGAGAAAAAATGGAAAGAAGAAAGAAAAGCCTGGGCCAAAGCAGAGGACAGGTAAAGCGTGAATCAACAATGTTTCACTGAGTACAACAAGTAATGTTCTTATTTGTCCTCGATCTTGCTTCAGGTTTGAACAGGAAGCAGAAGCTGTTAATGCAGATGTAAGAGTCAAATCTCTCCAGTCTGCTCTTGATGAATCAGTGACAAAATATGAGAAACTAGAAAAGGTTTGTTGAAATCCACAATATTAAACGTTATAACTGACACTGACCCATACAGCGTTCGACATGTTTTCTTTTCTAATTATTTTACAGGATTTCGAAGCCTTCAAAGAGCACAGCACCAACCTCCTTACACAGGAAAGGGAGCTGAATAAGAAACTCAGACACATGATAGGCTAAACCTTAGAAGTATAAAAGGGATGTTTTCTTGCAAATGTGACTTTTAATGAAATCAAATACTTTTCACCAAGAATATTTGTTCACTAACAGTGGTGCCAGCTCAGAAAAAAGGAAGCAAACCAGAACAAAAAAATATACTGTACTGTAGGATCTGCAAATGAAGAAAGACAACTTGACAACTTAAAAATGTTTCTGCAGCGTATAGGAACACTATGAATGGGTGTCATTTACCACAGAGCAAATTAATGTGGTGAACTTTGCCAAGCTGTCATTCAGTGGTAGTTGCAATGTTGCACTGTGCAACATTCCTTTGTGTCAGAAAATCTCCTCTAATTACTTCTTGCTTGGAGCGTCGCAGTACAAGCCTCTTCACCTGAAGCACAGCAGGAAAAAGCTCCATGAATCTTACACCAGTCTGCACAGGACCAACCCCAGAAGCATGTCAAAAGGTCACTTAGACAAGTGAAGGATCAGATGGTCATTTTTAGGTTCTGTGAGGTGAAATACCACCTGAAAGTTTTGTAAATCATCTTTTGAAATATAAGTTTCATGTCACTCACCTTTTGAGTGTAACCCCCTTCTAATAAGAAAAATATATTAAATAAATAAAAGAAACTATATCACAACGGAACAACACAAGATATTCTACATTTAGGTAACTAACAGATCATTGTTTGAGCATACTGTGAGGCCGTCATTGCTTAAAGTCTTTCTATACTATTTGTGGACCCTTTATCTTTTGTTGATTGCAGTAACGTTAGCTCGTGTCTTAGAAGGGTCTCGTTAAGGTTTTTTGAGAACGTTTTGATTATGCACTGTTTCTTATGTGTAACAGAACACGATCTGATTGCTCTTTTTCTAGCAGCTCTTCACTGGTCACCATTGCTTTGCAATTTTAGAACTAATTTAGAAAGTTTTTACCTTTCAACCTTCCTTTCTCAAGGGAGTGCTGTTATGATGATTCCAAAATCAAGGGCAGAGGCCAAAGGTGACCAGGCCTTTGCTTTTGCCTCTAAACCTTAAAACACCACACCTGTGGAATTTAGGCTGCCATCAATTTCACTTTCTCATCACCTCTTGATGTTGTTGCCATTTTTCCAAGTGCTGTTTTCTTTAAGTGTAACCATAGTGTGTAAATGTATCTACTAGCTATTACTTCTGCTGGCAGTTAATAACATTGCCCTGACGATTGTACTTGGAGTAATTAAAATTCCAAACTGAGCCAACACGTTACCTTACTTCATTGTTGCAGACATATTCCAGCAGCCTTCCCCTACCCTGAGGGTAAGGCATGAGTCTTGGCAAGACTCCATGGGATCTCGTCTGCTGGCCCCTTATAAAGGAGGAATGAGTGTTTCAGGGTCTCTTACTCTGCCCCCCAGAATGACTAAAGCTGCTGCTGCTGCTGCTGCTATTGCACAGTCATTGGGCTAACTGGAGCCCACTGTGCACTCTGGTCCTCTGCTCTTCTTACTACCTTCTTCAAGTCTGCTTTTTTTGGCTGCATTCAATAGAATAGTGAAAACTAGAAACTGCAGCTTTACTGAAGGAGATTAGTCTGCGAGTCACAGTATATGAAGATGACTGCTTGATTATTTTGAGCAAAAAAAAAAATTGTTTGAGTTTAAAGTGTTTTCTGAAATGGTCTTATAGTGTACAGTATGGACGCACAATCTCTTTAACTCTGATTTAATGCACAGAGTACTTTTGTGAACAGTGATATACATTTTTGATATTTTTTAGCTATTTTTCTTCTCAGCTGGGGGCAGGATGTTCCCCTCCTTTACATCTGCACTGCTGATCACAGCATTGACCAGTGTCTGGGCCCGAGACCTGTATGAGGAGAGGAGAACTAACAAGAAATCCAGGGCCAAACCTCTGGGTGCATATATTCATGATGGGCAAGGTAAGAAAAGACACGTAAATATTTTTAATTTGCCTTGTTAGACCTAGATTGTACCTATTTTACTACTGTACTTTATTTAGTGTTAAAGGTTTTATGCGTGTTTGCTTTTCTTAATTTTGACAGATTAATCATAATCTGGATTTGATAATAATCTACTGTATAGTTCTTCTTTGTGAAGACTCAGACCGCAAATTCTGAGAAAAAATGCATTTTTTATATCAAATTAAATGAAAAAAGGCAGTCATTTGTTCAGTGAAAGGAACAGCGCATGTAAAAGTGTGTTTTATTGGCAATCCTTCTTGTTCTGTGCATGCACAGCCATCCTAGACGAGGACTGTAGCTTGGAGCTCTCCTTCTTGTTGGACAGCTCGGAGAGTGCAAAGGACAATCATGAAGAAGAAAAGCAGTTTGCTGTGAACATAGTGGAGCGGCTGCAACAGGTACGGTTGCAGGTTGGCCGCAGCTTGAGCTTCAGGGTTGCTCTGCTGCAGTATAGCAGTCATGTCATCACAGAGCAAACTTTCAGAGACTGGAGGGGCACAGAGAACTTCAAGATACATATAGCTCCCATCACTTACATCGGGCATGGCACGTACACAACCTACGCCATCACCAACATGACCAAGATCTACCTGGAGGAGTCCAGCCCTGGCAGCATCAGGGTAGCAGTGCTGCTTACAGATGGTGTTTCCCACCCGAGGAACCCTGATATTTTTTCAGCTGTTGCTGATGCCAAGAACCAGGGCATCAAATTCTTCACTTTGGGCATCACCCGGGCAGCCAAAGAGCCAGCCAATGTAGCCCAGCTCCGGCTACTTTCCAGCTCCCCAGCCTCTGACTTCGTCCATAATTTGCAAGATGAAGATGTTGTTGAAAAAATTGTCACTGGGATTGTGAGTATAATACCTTGTCATAAGAAAGTTGAAGCATCCGTTTGGAGCTGACAAATGGGCAGGCTCACTCGTGTATTTGTATACAGATGGAATGATGATAATGCACTAGGGAAACAAAGGAAAGAATGTCTATGACAGCTCTGGATATAAGCTTTTCAGTGTTTGACATCTTCAGGTTGTCAGAGCATATCCCCTAGGCTTTCCTTTCATAGTGGGAAAAAGTGTTTGTCTTGCAATCTCACATCTTCTTCCTTTAAGCAGAAACAACTTTTAAACTGTGATCTTTTCTTGACTTGCACACACTTACATCCCCTGCATTTGAGCAATATATTTACACAATTTATTGTTGTGCTGATTGATCACAACACAAACTTAGCAAGGAACTGTATCATGTTGTTAATGTCAACATTGTTATTTATCAACTTTTTTGCAGACTGGTTTGGCTGAAGAAGGAGTGAGTATTATTACATTTAGACAACACATATTATTTAATAATGCGGAATTAAATGAAGATGTGCATTTGGACTGTACCACATTACATTCATGACAGCTTAGCAACCATAACTCTTCTCTTTGAAGTGCCCTGCAGCTCAGAGATGTGCTTGTGAGAAAGGAGAGAGGGGACCCAGTGGGCCTGGGGTAAGTATTTAGCCTCACACTTTTCACAATATCCCACAGCCAAAGAACAGTTTCCTTTGAGGTGTCTCAGAGCTGCAGAGAAATCTGACATGATTCTGATACTTTGGTTATGGTAGTTGTGCAGGTGTATAGCTTTTTTCCTGTCAGAATTATCTGCAGCTACTTGCACAAGCAAAGTAAGTGGATAGGTGGTCCTGCCCCATAATCTAAAAGTACACTTATTCCAACAGAGAAAGGAGAGGAGAGACTGCAGTTCGTTATTCCTAGAGAAATACAGTATGTTTGTCGCATGCCCTGTCTCTACCAGTTATTGTGAACTTCCCATGCATCATAAGTATCCTGCATGGAAACTAGAGATATAAAACTGGACCCTTGGCCATTCTGAATCTGAAACACAATCCCTACTGCTGCCAGGGTCAGTGGGACAGCAGTATGGGCATGAGGAGCACCAGACATAGTTTCTGTGTGATGCTAGATGATGATGATCCCAGCCACTGTACACACCCCCTCCCATGTTCAAACATATATGTAGACTTTCATCCAGTTCCTTCTCCTCCCGATTTAACAGGCAGTTCAGGTCACTTCAAGCTTTTCACTGACCTGACATATAATCATCTTCTAACACGTGACACACAGCGGAGTGGTCATTAACCAGGTGCTTTCTCCTCAGAGAGATTCTTCAAATTCTTGCACCCAGAATAAGAGGCTCTCATACTTATTCTCATTAGTTTCATGGTGATAAAACACTGCCCAGGTGCAGCACAAGACAATGACCCCTGGCCCTGTAGACATGAGGTATCATGTCCACCTACAGGTTCAACTGTCATACACCCCTCAGCAGAAGATATGGTCATAGACTTGTCTATTTGTCAGGAATGATTTCAGTGTACACTGACCAGAGCAACTCAGAAGAACAATCAATCAAGCTTTGACCCATATCTTGTTTCTTTCTCCAGGGAAAGAAAGGTCGTCCGGGAGAGGATGGTGCTCCAGGGCTTAAAGGCCAAAAGGTGTACACCTCTTAATGGGCATACTGTATGCACTATGGTGTTCTTAGCTAGTGGGCTTTTTCAGGGTTACACTTCTTCAGTGCTCCACACCCAGATTATATATTCAGATTTAAAAAAAAAAAAAAAAAAAGATGTTCGAGTCATCCAATACAAATTGTAGTAGTATCAGATAACACTTAAAAATCTGTGTTATAACCCATAGTAAAGTGGAAATAGTCAGAAATATTTTTGCTTATAGTATAATGCTTTACCTTCTGTAAGAATAAACAAACAGTTGTATCACTTATTAACATTGTTTTTTCAGGTCCAAAAGGATACTGATTAATTCATTGGGGAAGTACTGAGATGCATTCAGGAAACAAATGCTAATCATCTTAAAGCAATAAGGGATGTAATCTAAATGTATAAGATACCAATGAACCTAATGATTATAACAGTTAGGTGCATGCTTTGCAGTTGTCTCTTATACAAAACAGTTTCTGTTATCACTTGAAACTTCTTTTCTTTTCCTCTCTTCTTTCTGTTCACCCACCTCCTTTGGAGTACCCCAAGTTTCGATTTTAGGCACTGTTCTGATTCTGTTTCAGTATGCTCCCACTTGGCTCTCTTTTAGGACAGCACAACAACCTTTATCACTGCTACATTGATGATATGTAGTTACAACCTCAGTGGTGACAAGGTCCTTGGTGATTTCTTTAGAGGTGGTTGGACTGATAAATACTGATGTTCTGTCCAGGTTATGATATCTCAACAGTTTTTTTTCTGTTCTAAACCCATGAAAAGATGTAAATTTAGACTACATTTGGTGTTAAGGTATCTACTTTATACAGTAATACTGAATAACATCATATGTCATAACAGGGTGAAGCAGGATTAAGCGGACTGCCTGGGCGAGAGGGTGCTGAGGTAAATGTAGCTATTTATGACCAAAATAATGAAAATATTCATTACTGTCACTTACGTTTATTCACACATCTCATTACTTTTATTTTCAGGGAAAACCAGGTTACAAAGGAGAAAGGGTATGCAATTCAGGTTAGTGACAATGAAAATAATTAATTTTGTTGGACACAATTTGAAACTGTGCTAATACTTGTAACACAGGGTGAGAGGGGTGAGTGTGGCACTCCAGGAATCAAAGGAGATAGGGTATGGCAACATCGCAGACTCTACACATACTGAATATCATGTTTGCATAATTATTTACACTTACTTTATTTGATGTTATGATCTTCCCTGTAACATGCTTCAGGGTCCTGAAGGTTCAGTTGGTGCAAGAGGACTTAGAGGTCTGCAGGTTAGTTGCTATTTACTGCATGTGTTTCTAATTTTTGATAAATAACATCTTATATTTTTTATACAAGCAGACAAAAAAAAGAGCAGAGGGCTGTTCTGACTTATAACCCATGCAGTATCAGGTTACAGCTTGAAGTACAATGCAGCTAATTCCATAATCAAAGTACATTTGACTATATTAGCTTTACTTTTTAGATTTGCATAGTTGTGTACTATTGGAAACACCCACTGATCCCCTATTTGCTTTAGCAATATTGTGTGTGAGTTATTAAATCAAAAGAACATTCATATTGCACAAAAAGAAATACTGTAGCTGCAGAAATCACTACAATATATGATCAAGTCAGACATTCCCTGTCATCCATACAGAATGGCCTACAAACACATGTGCACACACATATATCAAAATGGCTTTGTTGCTTCTATATTAATGGCTGTATGTTGTTCTTGTTCAGGGGTTAGCGGGACCACAAGGGGACACTGGACCAGAGGGCCCTTTGGGAAAACAGGTCAGGTGTTTTTGAACAACTCTCACCCACTTCATTGTGCACATGTGCTGTGACCTGTAGATTCTTTTGTGATTCTTTTTAACTGTCACCACCCTTGGCTTAACCATACAGCACAGAGCCTTGTTTGTCTGGTAATGGACCCCTATGTCAAATTTGACATTATCAGTTCAGCCAGCAAGGCCAGTCAATAACATACATACATGTAAAGTCAGTTTATGCTCAGTGTCTCATCATGTGAGGCCATATAGGCGGCTTTTTCAGTCTTAGTGGTCTTATTTTTACTGTATTTCTCAGTCTCCTTATTGAGATATAGCTAGAAAATACAGGAAATATCTACACAGCATAAAAAAAACACAATTTTCAGGACAAAATGGCTTCTACAGCCCAAAGTCAGCATTTAGTGTGACATACCTTTTCATTTAGCAGCTTGAATTCTCTTGAGGAGACTATCTTGAAGTTTCACTGAAGGCTGCAAGCACTGATTCCTCCATCTCTCTCCAACTCTTCTTCTCACATGCTGTCAACAACTGGACCTGAACATTTCAAACTTTGATTCATCACTCCATAATACTCTTCTCCACTGATCTTCACTCCAGTCTTTGCGAGCTTTTGCATATCTCAGCCTTTTCTTCCTGTTCCCCTTCTGAAAAAGCGATTTCTTGGCTGCCGTCCTTCCACAAATACCGTTCCTGATCAAGCTTCTTCGGACTGTGGAAGGATCAACTTGGCATCCAGATGAAGCTGCCAGATGCTAAATCAGGTCCTTGCTGGAGTTCATTCGGTCTCTCAAAGAAGAAACTCTGAGAAACTTCTAATCAGATTTTAACTGTTTTCTTGCTTTCCCACTCTTATTTTTGTTCTTGACCTCTCTGAATTCCTCACACTTCTTTAGAACAGTTTGTTGTTATCTTCTGACAATTTTGTGTTTAATACTGTATATTTATTTACTATATTTTCTAGTTGTATTTTGATAAATAAATATATATAGCCATTATAACATTGCTAAATCTACAAATCTAATGGTGACCTAAGACTTTTGCATAGTATTGTATATGACTAAATTTAGCTTTTAGTTAAGTAGTATATTTCAGTGTAGTGTTTTAACACAGTGAATGAATGTTTTAAATAGAGAGGTTTAAAAGAAAGACAGACCAGTATAAAGGATAATACTATAGTTGTTTTTCAGGATTCCTGACCTGATCCTTTGCTCTGTTGGTCCATGATTTTAGCTCCCGGTTCCACTGCTGTTATTATGTTGTGATCATAGGGTGAACGTGGCCCACCTGGCCCTCCAGGAATTCAGGGGGAAACTGGCATTGGACTTCCTGGACCAAAAGTAAGTCATGTTATGAACACTTAATTGTAATTTATGACTATTTGTGGTTGTTTATTTAGTGAATACTTTTCTTTGAGTTTCTCCATTTAAATTAAGTCACTATATTAATCTGCAGGGTGACATGGGATTCCAGGGTAGACCAGGGCCTCCTGGTCCTATGGGTGTAGGTGAATATGGACCTCCTGTAAGTTAAGAAGACACAGGGTTATGGCAAAGTTGTTGAATAAATTGTGATCTCTATAAACATTTCACTGGCAAATGTGATTCATTGACAAAAAAGAAATGTAATTTGATCTGCCATCAATGGGTTGACATATTCTACACTGGTTTAAAGGGGCCTCAAGGACCACAAGGTGTTCAAGGAGAAAAAGGACCACAAGGAGAAGGGCTCCCTGGACCAAAGGTATTATTCTGAGTCTATCACTGGTGAAGAAGTCTGAACAAGTCAGAAAACCTCAGAGTAACAAATGAATTCAATAACAATAGGTTATTTGTTAATCATCAAGTAATGCTTAAATGCTTCAGAAAGATCAATAAATGTGAAACTATTGCAGAGAACTATCTTGCTTTACTCATGCACTGTTAATGATTTGTCATTTGTCAAAAATGTCATCTAATGTACAGAGTTATTTAAAAGAGCTTGTCAAGAGTGGTCTACAAGGACATTAAATTGGATGGACAATCAAAGAGAGGAAATAGCTACCCATAAAAAACACTGGGATAAAAAAATGTGGTGCAAGCAAAGCCCCGACTATCCCCTGTGTTGCTTAATATGTCAAGGTGCATTTCAGCAAAGCACTTTATCCCTAGTGAAAGTGCCCTAACAGCTCAAGTGAAAATATATGGAACCACATAATTTTCATGTGCAGCACTGCTAGAAAAGTAATCAATAAGCAGAAAAATAAATTACATAAAACAGTAAATATTTGAAAAACCAAAGCTCACAGCACTTTAATAACACTGTCTAAGGTTATCAGTCAGCTAGCTCTCTAGTGTGGTAGTTCCTAAATATTTAATAAAAAACCACTACTGGAGATGATATCCAAAAATAATCCCCAGCTGGAAGTGGAAGTGAATCTTTGGTTTTGTCTTTGGATTCAGGAAAACTGGCTTTCAAGCTCTGCTTACCTTTTAGTTATATCAAAGGCAAATTTTGAGATTTGTGTTTACATCTGTTTTTCCCTGCTGAAAGTGATGTCAGTCTGATAAAAAAGACATGGAAGACATGGTGCAACAATACAGTATATGGCTTACAAAGTAAAATATACATGTAGCATACAGTATTATTGGAGGCAGCATGTTTTGCTGAATAGCAGCATAAAAAAACGTACTTAATTAATTAATCAACAATAACGTATAACACTCAAATACATGTAAAATTGCAACAGTACTATCCCACTGTTACCTCAGCTGAAGACAGAACTTGTGAGTAAATCTGGCAATGAAAGGATCATATTTATAGGGTTATGAGTCCACTTCCATTTGTTAACGGGAGCTCTTGGGAAATGGACACTGAAAATGTTCTCAAGCAACTACACATTGGTTTTAAGCTATTCCAGACTTTCTGGCAATTATAAGTTTTACTTTCTGGTGATTTTTTATTCTTTTAAAAGGGGATTTGCCAGAAGTGGTCATACGCTCTCGTGCACATTAATAGTTTGATCAGATCTGAATTTCAGCACACATATTTATTGCTCATGATGCTTTTATAATCACTTCATACTTCATGGATAGTGGAAAAGTTTAAAGAATCATGCACTCAAGAAGTGCCATAAAGAAAGAAGAAAGGTTTCATTCCTTGTGCATGGGATCATTGTGTATCAGTCACAAGAGGGGAACAGGAGCCAGCATGCTCTTCTGCGATACTCTGTTCACTGAGAACAATGGAGATTTGGCTGTGGCCCAATCTGAAGTGTCTGCAGTGTAACTGACAGAGATTAACTGATTTTGGTCTACAGGGCGATCGGGGGCTCTCAGGACCAAGGGGGCCCAGGGGACCACAGGGTGCTGGAATCAAAGGAGAACGGGTAGGTTATATATTTATCATCTAACAAACAGAATAAATGGCAGCATGTACACAACATAAGCACTAATAAAATCTATAAGGAAGCTCAAAGGTTCTGCATCTAACTAATGCATTTATACTTAATAATCATATTGTATTTAGCATCTTGTTGTAATTACTCTATACTGCTACTCTTGTTATTCATGATCTGCCAAATTTGATAGACTCTATGTACTGTATGTGAACATTCTGGTATCACTTGTATTAAAGACTCAAAAACAGGATGCTGAAGAAAAGCTGGTGTGGTACAAAGGCAGTAACATTGGTCTTTGTTCCTAAACTAGTAAAAGCTATTCTGTCATCTGCTCAGTATGGTGCTGAAAGTACAAATAATGTCAAAACGGTGTAGATTATTAGGCCTTGGTGGAGATCTGCACTACACTGGAGACTTTCTAACTGATTTTGTATATTGCTAAATACTGAATTGATGGGAAACATACAGTATGCACTTACATAGCTAAGTGAGTCACTGAGAACAGACACTCCTGTACTGACCCTGGGTGTTTTACTCCCAGGGTGAACTGGGGCCCCCAGGTCTTCCAGGGCCAACTGGACCAACAGGAGTGGGCATACAGGGAGAAAAGGTCAGTAGCATATTATCAGTGACATGTTAATAATGTCATGTATCTTATATCTGTCACACACCCTGACACATACAAATGCATAGTAGCACACCCTGCATCGATAGCTCTAATTTTTTATTATTGCACAGGGAATTGAGGGTCCAAGAGGTCCACCAGGGGTCAGGGGACTTCCAGGATATGGTTTACCTGGACCCAAGGTTTGTTGCAACAACTACTATATGAAATGCAAAATTGAATTTGCTCATTACATTTTTAATAATTACCTAATTGGATATCATCATAATATTTCTCTTTTTAGGGAGATCAAGGTTTACCAGGAGAGCAGGGAGCTCCAGGAGAGAGAGGGCTTGGTGAGCCAGGTCCAAAGGTTAGAAGACTTATCTCCTTATCACAGTTAAGGGCCTGGTACTGAATCAAACAAAAATTAGATAACACTTTTATACTGTGACAGGGAGAGCCTGGAGCAGTTGGACTGGGCGGTCTACCCGGTCTTCCAGGAGAAGATGGAGCTCCAGGACAAAAAGTACTGTACATTGTATCAACTCTGGAAAGCCTCCACTCTGAACTCCAGTTTTGTAGTAGTATCTGAACTCTACCGTACCTTACATTATCCATTGCTTTACAATGGCAAAAAAGTATGCTACTTCTAGAATTCAGGGTCGCAATGGATTTGGATTTTTTCTGTCTCATCTACCTTTTTTCTCTTAGGGTGAACCTGGTTCATCTGGTTTAAGAGGTCCTGAAGGAGCACCAGGAATTGGCACACAAGGGGAGAAAGTATGCTTAGATTATACATATATGCTTGTGTAGTTTACATTTTATATCACAACAGATGTTATTCAGATGATGTGTGGCTGTACCTCCTCCCAGGGCGACCAAGGTCTTAGGGGTATTCGTGGGTTACATGGGCCTCCAGGGATTTCAGGACCCTCTGGACCAAAGGTAAGAATTAATATATTTTGTTGTGGTGTTATAGCTTCCTTGGTGATGTATAATAAGCTCCTGTCCCCACCTTCTTTCCATTCATTTCATAATGATTACACTGCAGTTGAAGATTTATGCCACATTAACCCAGCCTTTCAACGAATAAAGAAATAAGCCCTGGCAAAAACATATTGTTAAAAAAAGATACAAGCATGAATCAGATTTTCTTACCAATTCTCACCTAGGGGGAACAGGGAATATCAGGTCAGCAGGGCATGCCAGGGCTGCCAGGACGGTCTATACCAGGTCCAAAGGTAAATGGAAACCTCATTAAATTGTCTCTTAACACCTAACACAAAGCCAGAAGAAATGACAAACTGAGTCTGATATGCGAAAACACTGTTGCCACAAATCATCAGTGCAACTTTGTCTTGTCTCCAGGGTGATGTAGGTCCTGCTGGCCCTCCTGGCCCTATTGGGGAAACAGGCCATGGGCTACCTGGTCCAAAGGTAAGCACTACTAGGGTTTCTTTTGGGGGGTTTTGTTTGTTTGTTTGTTTGTTTGTAGAACTCCAAAACTATATTTGTGTAAACTACATCATGTTGCTGGTTTCATCATGGAATTTTGTTTAACCAGGGAGATCATGGTCAGTCAGGTTCACCAGGTCCAGTTGGTCCAACAGGCGAAGGCATCCCTGGCCCTGTGGTTTGTATCATAACAAATCCTAAATTTGCTTTTGTCACTAAAACCATGTGCAAGTTGCCATAATCAGAACTAATCTATGTACTTTTTTCAGGGTCCTCCAGGCATGCCAGGATTA